ACGCTATACGGTCCGCTCATTATTTAGCTATCGAATGAGACCGATCTCAAGAAGATATTTTGACAAACGGCGAAATGTAGGCTTCCAAAGTGTGCGTACCACGCGAAAAACTGCCTTTTTTCGACTTTAACCGCCCTTTTTGATCGTTCTCGTACCTGAATGGTTCGTACTCGATCGGAAGAATTCGAGTTTTCAGTTTCAGAAGCGGTTTCGCTTTCTTCTTGAACATCACAGCAACACAGAAAAAAACTGAAAAACCGCACCGACGTCAAAACGCCCCGATCCAGACTCGATACTGGAGGTGAAAAACAAAAACTACAAATTGATTGATTGGTATGGAGTGAGTGTTTTTCTTATAACATCAGCGGTAGATCTTTAATCCAGATCAAGGACTTGGAAGTTACTTTTTGCTCAAAATTAAGAAAACAAAACTGTGCATATGAGATGTTGGGTTTTATCAATCGGCATTGTGTTGATGTCACTTTTTTATTGTTGCTCCATCTGGTCCTCAAGTTATAATTTTCATAGAAAATGGGTTTATTTAAGGTTGGGTAATAGATATGTATCAAGTTTAGAAGTACTTGCAGTTTTTGTTAATGAGTTTAAGTATTTGTAACAAGGGTTTTACGCGTTGATTAAATAAATTAAACTTGACAGTGCGTTGAAAGACTACAAAGAAAAATCGAGTTTTATAGTCTTTAATATGTCAACTTCGTTTCGTTCTAGCATCTCATAATGTAATCGATATAGATACAGCTAAAACAAAGGTAATAAAGTATTGCTTGTGTGAGAGGCGGGCAATTTATGTTCCAAAACTGATATTAAGACATTCTTCTATGCGAGTAACTAGCGGTTTAATGCTACCCAGCAAATAAAAGCTTTTAGTACGTTACCTTGGATTAAAATGTCTGAGTAATGCCTTGAAATTTAATGAAATTGGCCAACATCCATTGGTTCGTACTACCTACATATTAGACAGGAAGTTATTTTAATCGAGAAACGTCGACAAACAATGTTTCTTTATGCCTCATCACAATTCATAATACATATTACTCGTATCATATAGATATGATCTGGTTTCAACCGTAAGTTACCAGTGTGGAAAAAGGAAACAATGTTTTGCACTTATACGGGGTTTTTGGAAAACGAAATCGTCTTCATCAACAATAAAATAACTGTATAGGCATCAGGATATTTCTCATGTATTGCATCCGGTACTTATCATAATACACAAAATTTTTTGCAAAAAATCTCAAACTACGTAACAGGGAAAAATCAAATGTGTTATACGCGAGAAACCTTCAACACTCCTTAAAAGGACAACGAAAATGTCATAAAGATTCAGTGCATACTGTAATTAGAAATGAACTTTGGTATATTATATTGACAATCCGAAAAAATGTACTCATATATTATTACTGCTTTAAAGAATGCTCCAAAAAATGTTAACAGGATTAGAATTTAGCCTAAACAAAAATTTGTTGCTTATTTCATTGTTGTATATCGCCCTCAGCCATTCTTTGTACGTTGTTTGAAAACTTGTCGACTCGCTGGTAATCATATTAATCATAAAGACACGATAACTCAGTCTAAACAATATGGTTTCATCTACCAAAAAGTAGGCAACCCAGAAGTTAATTGGAAAATGTGAAATTTGACAGTACTCTTGATGAAACTATAAATTTTATTGGGCCATTGATATATAACGGATAATAATTGACCCCGATGATGGCTAGATTTATCGTTAAAACAGTGGAATGAGGAAATTCAGTCGTAAATAAATATTATGAGATTCTGAAATGTGAAATAAAAAACCGAAATACGGTCGGTTGGAAATGTGGGAAAATTACGCGTAATCTAATTTCAATTCGATATTAAATTGAATTTGCGTTTTAAGAAGAAACGCGTAATTGATTGATAAAACCGCTAAATATGGGTATCACGATTTTACTTATGTATGTAGTTTATTATCGGACAATAAAAATACCGTGGCTGTACTTACGCAATGATACCAATTTGAATCGTGTAAATCAAATTTTACAGCGGGATATTATAGATTTTAGTCAACGGTTATAAATTCATTAAAATACTGTTATTAATCCATACCTTTATTGTATCGAAGATCATTAACCCATACTCTTTTCTCAACTAGCGACTGTGTCACTACACATACTTAGATTGATTGTATAGGTAATAATACCGTTTAAATATCAGGTCGAGAACAATTATGTAAACTTAAATAGACAAAGGAACAAAGCAACACTACCTCCGCGTGCATATCGTGGTTTAAAAACCAATTTTATCAGCGTATGATGATATCTCATTCACGATGTACGTTTAGAGTTGTCGTTTAAGTGGAACGTAAACCTGAGCAGAGTTCGATACTCTCACACTAATATACTCAACAACAAGCGCATAACGTGTTCCGATGGACCCTGCATTTTAGCCACAGTTTAAACAGCTATTTGAGCGCTTACGCACAGTCAGCGCTGTCATTTTCTGAATCTCTAGGACAATATGACGTCAAGTCACCTTTCTACAATTTCAAACCATTGTTGTTCGTTGTCGCATTTGCTGTTAAGAGACATAGTAGCCTAAGAGCACGGAGACCTGCCGCAGGTAGGTAATTGATATCACAGCGGAATCGAAATAGAATGAAATACCGTCATACGGTGAGATTTGAAAATACTGATAGTGGTCGAAGGAACTGGTACAAAAAACAGACTGCGATATTTTTTTAGTTTCTGTACGTATCAGTTCAAAGTCACGATATTACGAAATGGCATCTTTCTTCGTTTGTTCATCTAACTGTATGATCAGTGGCATAAAGTAACGTTTCGTATTCCACGGTCCAAGCATGTACGTGCAGGTCAAAATATCGATTACCGTTCACAATTTTGGGCGTACACTTGACCTCATCGCTCAGTATAAAAAAGGTCAAACATCTTTTTCTGTATATCGTCTTCTGTAAACATACAATACAATCCACGCCACTCAAATAGAACCTGTATACTTTTCTCTCTGATTCAAGGTTTGAGACGGAAATTATATAAAAGTAGCATTTGCATAAATGTTTATGAAACATGGATATCAGTATAATAAACACCCACGCAAATCTTAGTTACAATGGTGATCTAGGTGAACAGTAGCGAAACGAAATCAGTGGAAGTGAAGCATATTGTATGCATTCCAAATGGAGAACCTAAATCTTCAAATATCGGTAGCAAAAATGTATTTTTATGAGTCTAATGAGGAATCTTGCAAATTATGGCAAATGATTCAAAGGCCTTCCAAATTTGCTACAAATGACAGAGATCAACAAATTCTATGCTAACAATCATACAAATAGTGCAGTCTAAAGCATGTCTAAGCATCTGTAACTTCTGTAGATAAGGAAGAAACGACACTGGAGATTCTTCAGTCATAATAAAGTCATTTTCAGTGATAAAAAAGTTCATCTTGGATGGTCTTGATAGGTGTCCATTATGAAAAAATAACAGGCCTTGTTTGAAAAATCATTATTTGATGAAGTTCCTTGTGGTGACATTCCTTCAACGCTACTTTTATCACTAATTTTAGGTGTTTGTCCTTTGGACCATCCTCAGAGATCTTTCAAATTCCGGACTGTTCAGTAATATCGCCTGACAATTTTCAGGACTCTATAAAATTTGTCTCACTGCTTAGAATAATCAGCCGATCTTCTTTTCAATTCTACTATAGCTACTTTCGTGAAGAATTCCCATTTTCATACTTCCACGCGCAAAACTCTCCGACTACTCATTTCGAGACGGTGAATAACAGGCAGCGTCAAGTTATCACAAGAAAAACGTGCGATGACCACCAGAAAGTATTGAAACTAACGAATGCCAACAGCTAAACGTTACATAACTAAATATATTTGTACATACTATTTTTCTGTCTTATATTTTGAATAATAAATTGTTTCTATTTAAGCGGCGCGGGATGTATATCAAATGTATGGCGATAAAATCTGTGGCTTTGAAAACTGATTTCGAAACCGCACGCAATAATAATTCAAACTGCGACTTATTTTTAAAATATTCCCGAACGAGAATACCCCAAAAAAATCAGTAAGTGTGTCATTTCTTATTTGTTTATAAGTATTTTTTCGCGTTTGCAGAAAATTAGTTGAACGATTTGTACCTTTGGTTTCAATGACCAGTTTTATTAGTCATTATCACCATTCTGATGAAGATAATCATTTAATGACAGAGTTAACGTAATTAACGTACTTTTAGCCTTAATATGGGGTTTGTGAATTCTACCTGCCTTAAGTTAATATACCCTTTAGGTAGACATTTTGCAGGATTAGCATGTAATTCCCTGGAACCCATAAAAGTGTCTTTAACAGATACCTAAAGAGGCACTAACATTTCGAGGGTTGAAAATTGTGGTACTTCCTACATTCTTTATGACAAATGAGTCAATGTTTTCTGGCTTTCAGTACCAGCATAACAATACGCACCAACGGCTCTTTTATAAGCTGATTCAGTTCACATCGTCAGTCGTTCCTACAATTGTAAGGACGCCTTTACGGTCTCCTTGATTCTCATAGTATTTTCTCTCCTTCAAAAAAGCTAGGGTAGGTATTTCTACCGTTTCATGTCAACGTCAGCGCTCGCCTATTGTGAGGTTATGTTTTCTTTTTGAATTGTAGGAAATATCAGGCTATATAAATCAAAAGCATGAACAGTTTGATGCAAATAGATATTTGTAACATAACCTCAAAGTGGAGCGCTGACATGTAGAAAACTATGAAAATCAAGGAGGCCTTAAAGGCGTCCTCAAAACTGCGAAGATTTTAGACAATATGACCAAAAAATATAAATTAAGTATGACCAAAACGATTAGCAATATAAATATAGCATAAACCGTATTCATAAGATAGCTTATCTGTCAAACATGGGAGACAACGCCACACTGAAATGTTCCACTATATCAAATTATCAAATTTCAGACAGAAATCAGTATTATATACACATTCCAAACAATAATCTTCATAATATCATAATAACTGTTATTTCCATATGAATAACATTATCATGTATATGATTGCACTGCAGATTGTCTGGTACTTGATCTAATGGAATATATCTTCAGAGTTGTCAGACATTTCTGTTAAAAGATTTTTCAGCGTATCTTTAAATGCAGTTTGATTGTTGCAATGTTTTGGTTGTGCAAATCATTAAGCCAGGTTATCGTAACATTCATCTGATATAAAGCATAAGGTTATTCTGGTTACTTTGTTAAACAAAATACATTGAAGCATTTGATGGCGTTTGACTCAATAATACTTCTTACCCCAGAAAGCTTAAAAATTATACTTATATGGCATTGTACTTGGAGAACCAGGGGCATAGGATATTATAAATTTTTCAACAAATACGAACACACAACACACTCAGCTTCGAGGCTTTTAGACTCAATTTCTTGTTTCTGAACTATTATCAATAAGTATAAAGTAATTGCAAGAAGGGTAAATTTAGAAACGGGATGAATAAATGCTATAACCATCTGTTTCTGCTTCTAGCGCATGTCTCTATGAATACTCGATAACACTGAAGTGTTATGTTTTTTCTGCATTTGTCTATAAATTGTCATCAAAGGTCAACCGTATGCGTTATTTAAATCAGAGAAAATTAACTGCCCATGAACATACTTGGACCTGGTTCACGATTTTGAACTGCCAGCTTCAGGATGGAGATTGTAGATGAACCAAAAAAGAAACACACCATTCCAAACCTTTTACATAATCTCCTACATATCAACTCACTGTTGGTACACAATAAGACCATTGGGAACCTTTCGGTGCCATGCCTAAATACACCTTCACGTCCCGAGTTTGATATTCAATCAACAGGTTTCTTCATATCTTATTGGTACACTCCAATTTTGCCCGTTTATCACTATAGGCGTACATTGGTTGGTAGACTTCAAAAATTCTTTTATTTTGAGCTCAGAAAGTTAGAACTGTTTTAGTCCGAACAGCGCCTGTTCCGGGATATTAAACCAGTCGCCGGGAAGGCCTTTGTCTTGCTTTGCTGTCATTGACTACGAAAAAGCACTTTCGACATTTATAGGTTATTTATTGAGCCGATAGTCTCACCAAGGCTTACCGCAGGCGATTTGAAGTTCACCGATGGCGGATACCGCTTGTCTCGCTTGGAAATATATACATTGAGGATCACTTCTTCACAAAGGCGGAACATCCAGGGATTGGCAGTCCTGCTGAACCGCGAAAAGCGGCTCTCACATATGCGTCAACGGCGCCAAGGGACCCCCCTGGACCATGGGGTCCGGAGACGGGGCGTACTGGTGCTGCATGTGCTGTACGCCCGTATCCGTCGGCAGGTACATGGAGATCATTTGTCGCAGGTCCTGGCCCTGGACTTGCTGTTGCGTTTGCTGTTGGTACTCCCGTTTGACGCCGGCGGGCGTCGGCGTGTGAAGACCGGAGCCCGGCGAGACTGGTTCCGATTTGATGCTGCTACCGCTGGGACTGTGCGAGGAGCCGGCTTGGTGAAGTCCGTAAGGTGAACCGGCACTGTTTGGAACCGTGTATCCACCGTAACCACCGTTCATATACGCGGAATGTTGCATCTGTTGCATTTGATCGTACCGAGCCGCGGCCGCATAGTTGGCGCTGTATTGCTGCTGGTAAGAGCTGGGATCGTGCATCATGTAGCCGTTGGGCATGTATCCGTTCGGCATTTGGTACATGTCTCTGGCTGTCACTTGTTGAACGCCGCCGCCTGGGGTCGGTCGCGAACCAGCATCTCCAGGTGCGCCCGTCGGCAACAGAGCCCCGGTGCCTAACGGGTATTTGTCTTTCTTCAGTAACGTCTTGGTCTTTCTCCTCGGTCTATATTTGTAGTCAGGGTGTTCCTTCATGTGAACTGCGCGCAACCGTTTCGCCTCGTCGATGAATGGCCGCTTCTCTGTCTCGCTGAGCAGCTTCCACTCGGCGCCGAGTCGCTTTGATATCTCGGAATTGTGCATTTTTGGATTCTCTTGAGCCATTTTCCTCCTCTGACCTCTCGACCACACCATAAACGCGTTCATCGGTCGTTTTACCCTTTCCATATTTTGCGCTTTAGTCGTATTGTTGTTATTGTTCTGTTGGGGATGCTGCGGTTGGGGAGCCTGCTGATGCTGGTGACTCTGTTGGTGCTGATGATGCAGCTGCGGTCCTTGCGGTTGATGGTGCAGCTGATGCGGATGCTGTGCCAACGAGTGCATGGCCGGCAGCTGACTGAGACCGCCGTAACCCTGCAGACCTCCGTGGTGAGGAGGCATGTTGGCGTGCAAGCTGCCTCCTTTCAGGTCGGTTTCCATGGTAAGCATGTCCTCCGTAGGGGCGAACAGTTTGCCGGTTTTCACTGAACTTCACTAACACGGAACTGTCACGGCGAACGCACTCGGCCAACGCGTGTTTACTGCATATGCCCCGGTTTGTGACTGGCTACGGGGACTGGCTGCGTCGCGACCGTTGCGCCCCCCACCACGCCGATGATTGACAGCCGCGCCTGCCATATTTGCGGGGAGCCAATCGGAGGCGAGGACACGCCTCTCGAACGGCTCCCCTCCACCGGAAGACGCGCGCACGCAGCTAATTACTCCCAGCCGATTACTAATTATACCTAGAGGGTATTTTTACTGCTGGCAATAATAATTAATTAATACTAGCGCATCATTTCGCGTTTAAAAATCTCTAATTAATGACTGTGAGGTCGGCAAGAAGATTTTGCTCGCTCTTCGTTATCAAATTTTCCTCGTTTCAAAAGAAGTCCGCGTGCACTCGCATAATTGGGCTAGGTAGGTATAAGAACAATGGCTATTGCTAACTTTCATTGAGTGTAGTAATAATAGTTGCATTTGTTGCTCACTTGAGCCCGATCGTTTTGTCGTCTAGTCGTTGCTTTGTTTCGGTCAGGGCAGCGGACAGGACGTACCTAGGCTATGGACACAGGAAGCTCGGGGCCTCAAGGCGGAGCGAAATCTGGGGCCCGGTGGGAAACATTGAAGCGCGGTGGTACTCAGACATTTTTTTAAAACGACGCTTCAACTATGAAAAGTTGATGTTTGCCAGATTGCCGAGGTCCGATTTGTTGCTCTAGAGCAGAGGTCGCCAGCTTTGACCTAGTCGTAAGCAATACAATACCATTCCACGATCACTTAGGCCCGTATCGTCAGTCGTCCGTACAATTGTAGGGTGCCTTTATGGCCTCCTTGATCGTCATAGTTTTCTGTCAGCGCCCTATTTTGAGGTTATGTCACAAACATCTATTTGGATCAAATTGTGCTTGCTTTTGAGTTATATCATGTTTTATCAGCCTGAAGTTTCCTACAATTTAAAAAGAAAACATATCTTCACGATAGGAGAGCGCTGACGCTGACACGGGATAAGTGTAATCTAGAAGTTTTTGAAGGAGAGAAAGGAGTATGACAATCAAGGAGGTCATAAACGCGCCCTACAATTGTAGGGACGACTGACGATACGGGCCTTAATCTCAAGTTTATAGCTAGAATCTATAAACATAGATTTGATCGTTAATTCACACATAATTTGATAATGGATGTATCTGAGACTTAACAACGAATAGTACCTAATTATTAGAACAAAGTTGTACTTTTCCTAGGAATACAAAAAAATGGCAGCCAGTCCAATGTTTCAATGTGCACGTTTACCGGTTTCACCAACTTTTTTGAGGTTATGCTCCTTAATCGATGAAACAGCAGATAGTTACACTACTGATACAAGAGTAAATAATGCCATGGAAGTGCAGGTGTCGCTACTGATGTTTTTGGAGATATCGAGATATCTGACTATTCCACTCTACCTGCCTATTCCACATTCACCAATAATTTGACACCGCCATTCGTATACAATTGCCCAAATTTTCATCTGTAAGTCGATATTTGTTTTTAATAAACTTCATTATTTGAAAAAGAAGATTCACACAAATAGGTTCCCTACTAGCAAAGTAGTGGTATAAGCTTTTGGTAAAAGAACCGTTCAGCATAAACGTTTATACAATTATTTTACACGGCATATTTGCACGTTAGTCAAAATGGTTGTTTATAAAACAAACCCGAGCCTTGTTGTTTTGCTGTGCAATTTACAACGTTAGCCAACAAGTTGCTCCCAAAGGAAGCGCTTATACAACTGTTCTTTAGTAACTGTTAAAGGCTGTACATATGCTAAATATGTTGGTAAACAACTTCACCATAACCTAACTTTCCGCTGTCATATTTTTGTTAAAATGCCATAACTAATGTTTTAAGACAATCAACGCATGCATATCGGTTCAAAAGGTTTTATCAACTGTTCAAACAGAAGATATAGATCTGGTACAAATTCTGGGTAAATCATTCGACTCTGTCGGTATTTCATTTCAGACGTTTGTCAAATTGTTGTATAACACCTGCAGGCAACACCAAAATATTCTAATAACCTAAAGACAACATGGACAATGCCATGCAATAAAGTAGAATCACGTAACAGAATAGTTCTATAGTTGACAAAAACTGAATCTTGCACTGTCCTATAGCGGCTGCAAGAGGCTTACACTTTTGTTTTATAACTGTTACCTGCAGCCCTTATACAACCTCTTAAATGACTGAAATGTCACATTAGGTGTGCCCATTCCGCTTGTATAGCTATTCTAAGAGGGTTTTGCCAATGTTCTTATAGTAGGGGAAGACCGGGAGACTTGCCCCTCCCAATTTATTATTGTTGCTATTTATATAAATCAATAAATTTTAGATGCCTTCGTAGCATATATTTTTAGGAACCTTGTTTTATCATTTAAAGCTTAAAAAAATAAGTTAGAAAAAAAATATATAGTTTTTTTATTTTTTTAAAAACTCTCCCACATATGCGGGAGACTTGCCCATAATCAGAAGGAGAGTTGCGCACCCCCCTTATTAAATGAAAACAAATCTAAATAATAACTTTTGTATTCGTAAAACTCAAAAAATAAAACAAAAAACCTTACTTATTCAAGTACGAAACTTAATCTGAATCTTTGAAATCAGAATAAACATAAGTTTAATGCAGAAAACAAATAAAAATAATTTTAAAAAGTATGAACCTTCTGGGCCATCAGAAACGAAGTCGTCTCGATATTTTATATGAGGGAATATAAAAAAGGGTGGAATAACGCTTCCAATTGCATTGACTGCAAAACAAACTGTCACCAAAGTGCCCCTCTCGGATCAAGTAACTGGACCAGCCTGCTTAGCTTTTTTACTGGCCAATACCTTAGGACAATCCTGAACTGTAGTACTTCATCACAGTTATAAATATTTTGTGGTTCAAACTTAAATTTTTCTCGTACAATCCTTAAGTTTTGAAAAAAATCGTGTACATTCTTCCGATTGAAGCTCGTAGATCGTGACAAGCTTGTTCCCTCCGGAATTCTTAAACTAATTTCGGGATTTCTTGATAACAAACTGTGAAACCAATCCTTCCCTGCCATACTATTTTTTGACCAACTTTCTGGAATTTCTTAGGAATTCGAAACTGCAAACTCAAAAGCTAATTTCATTCCTTGTTTTCGAGTAAATCCATAGTGCATTTTGCTGCAATTTAAAAAATGTTCAACCAGAAGCTTCTCTTCTTGTATGATGAATATTTGTGAAGTATTATACTGGCCTTTAGTTTCTATTTTTTCAAGTTTATTTTCATTGTTTTTGTAGCGTCTCAGAGTCCTCCGATCAATATCATATTTTGCAGAAGTTTTTCGAAGAATTCCTAGTTCATCATTTCTGCTAGTTCTTTGTCTTTCCCCGAAGCTCCAAATTAAGTTCATTTAATTTTTCTGTAATGTCCACAAGAAAACTAAAATCTCTAAGCCAGATCGAATTTCCCAGTTCCGGAATCGGTTATCACGTTGCTTGAAAAATTGAACTACTTATAACAAATATGATATCATTAAAACGTTTCACCACTGGTCTATCGGTCTTCAGAGTGAAGAAGTAGTTCCACATATTGAGAGTCAATTTCATCGGCCAAGATTTTGAATAATCTTCTTTCTAATTTTGTTCGCGATTTTTACTACCAATTTCATAACGTCGTTTAGCTTTAGAAAATGTCCGCATAATGTCTTGCTGGTGGATGATGCAGTAGTAACAGAAACATTGCGAAAAACTTTCATCATTACGAGACCCACCATAGCTGGAGCGCCATCGATTGTCAAGTCTACCATTTTCGATATTGGATTTTCTCAGAAGAAACAATATTTCCAAAAGAAGAAAACAAGTCCTGTACTTTTAGTGGAATAAACTTCAAAAGACCTTCTTTAATCGTGAAATCACTAAAAACCATCCAAACGAACACAGCCACCTGAGAGTTGTCAACGACATATGTAGATCCATCCAGCTGCAGTGAAAAAAGCACGGTTATCGAAGTCAGTTCTTTACTATAAAACTATATCATTGCGCATTAGGTACTTCTACTCGTCTCATCACTGTATTAGCAGAAAGTTGCATAGCTTTTATAACAGACACTATCTCGTCTTTATTTCCAAACTTGAATCTGCATCTTCTTAAAACGCCTGTTTTATCATTTCCCCATCTTCATAAGGTTTCTTCTTTTGTGTAATTATCTCAGTACGATGCTTCAGTTGCAGCTTTACTTTTGTCGGTTGTTTTTAAAAACATTGTCTGTTGTCCAATTAACTGATTTTTTAACTGTTTCCGTTTATCCGTTCTGGTCGCAGAACATAATCGGAACAACAAGACACACGCAACAACATGTTTAAGAACATTTCATTTCTTGTCGTCGTGGATAATATTCGCACGAAACTTATGATCTACGAGCCCTTTCAAATTTAAGTTGGCCCAGATATTGAAATCTTAGTTTTTTTTCTTATCAAACACAAACAATAAAAATGCAGCAGGGCGTTATAGGTTTAAAATATTAACAATGAATATTTTGATAGTATATAGTAGAAAACACCAACTTTATCACTCCCTAATCAAATTTGCAGCATAAAAATAACACAGGTTGCAATTACAGCATTTTCATTTCAATGCAAAATAAGTCTATAACGTATAGGTGGCTGTGAAAAATAAAAGCCATGACAATTGTTTTTATGAATCACAGCTGTCAGAATACGTTTAAAATAGTTTTGGGTAGTTGAGGTTTTCAAAATGGGTAGAGGAAAGGTTATTAGTGAGGAAATTCGGTTACTGATAATTAAATTTTTTAATTCTTGGAAATCAAACTCAGAAATTGCAACTTTGTTAGACTTATCGCGGTACAGTGTGAAAAATATTGTTAGAAGATATAACTGGATTTAGAAGTAAATAGTTTCGCAATAAAGGCATAATCTTGAAGTGGGCCAACTGAAGCGGGAAGGGACTCGTATATCAAGCAACAATATTTGAAATGAGAATCTCTCTAGCAGCACGCTGCTTCGTTGAGGTTTTACTTATT